ATGCTCTGGATAGGCGATTCTTTTAAGAAACAGGCGATGAATATCGAACTTCGTACTCAGAGATGCAAAGAGGAAAAGCACATGGCTCTTTTACTGTATGCTGACTCAGTCGTCAACAGAATCAGAAAACTGCTGCAAATTATTTTTATCATAGATCGATCACTGCTCTGGGATCTCTCGCGCTGTTTTGGGATTGTGCAGCAGTCGTGCTGCGGTGCGCTGCTTCAATTGTTCCTGCAAGAAACTGTAAAATTTGCCTGCAGTGATGATGCAAATCTGAGAAACGAGTGTAAATTCATTTACCATTTGTTTTAGGGTTTAAGCTTGTTTAGGATACTTGAATTCAGCCGTTATATGACTAAGAACTAAGATCTTAAACTTCCGTCTTTTCGGCTTGGTTAGTTGCGGAGTTAAAACTGAAATGCATTCTTGGCCTTTGAAGTATGTGTTCTCTTATTTACATAAGTGCAAAAAAAAAAAAAAATAAGGGGCTAGAAGCAACTGGAAATTGCAGAGGGGTGCGAGCTGAGTGGAGGGCGGATTGGGCATGGGCTGATCCAGAAAGGGAGGGGTGGAGCAGCGAGGAATCTTTCTCCCTCCCTCCCCCCCTCCCTTTCACCAGCGGCGCAGGCACCAATTTTAGCTTTAGACCCAGACTTTTGCACCAATGCTGCAAAAGTCTGGGTCTAAAGCTAAAATTAAAGCAAACTAAAGCCTAAAGTAACTCCAAGTAGCAGTGTTACAACTGTATTTCTAGTTTTTGCATCGTCCCAGGGTGAGAGGGAACCCTCCTTCCCACCCATTCCCCTCCTCGTCGCCCACCCTGCCCCATCCCTCCCCTTCCCGCTCCCCCTTCCCTCAGGATCCGTCCTGGATCCGCCTATAAGAATGAGTGAAGACTTTTGTTGAAACCATTTTTAAGGATCGACAAAAAAATAATCTTAGGCACATAAGGCATATTCTTAGGCATCTAAAATATGGTAGGAAAGTGTACTTGCCTTCCTGGGAACATCAGTATGACGCCGTTTTGGTTTCTCGGTTCCGAACGTTAGATCTTCAACTGTGGAAGGCGATGAAGCCCGAACTGCGGTCCGTGTACGCACT